CACGTACTGTTTTGCCCTGGGTAGCTACCTTCTGAGCCCTGTTTCCCCTCTGGCCTCGAAGCCTCCAGGCCTGCCTACCCCTCACTAAGGTGCAGTAAGGTAAGTAATATGCAGTTTGGCTTTTAGTATGACCATGCCAGTGGAAAACACGTGTCACCTGAAGATGTGACTGTTGTCACAATCCAAGCTCTCAAGCTAGGTTCCTAAAAGTCCCGAGAGTGGCTTGCTGCAAAGAGGTGCTGGGGGTTGGTCCAAAGAACCCTGGGGGTTGGAAGAGGACGCTGTCCACTCTGGCTTGAAGCAGAGCCCTGGCTCAGGGACCTACGCACCTTTGTCCCATTCTCAGCCCCTGAGCTGAGTTTGGCCCAGATACTGAAGTCTGCGGACCCCTGACAGCCGTCAGCACCTGGCTCCAGGCTGACAGAGACCATAAAATTTCAATGAATGAGTGTTTCTGTAGGAGGGCTTTTGGTCTGAAAAAGGAAGCTGTTTCTCTAATTTAAGGGGGGAAATGGAACCACCTGGATTAGGTCCCAAGTGTGAAGACTGTGCCCACCCTAGACACCTGTTGTACGGCGCATCGCCCCAAGAACATACTGCACCAAGCGGGGGTGTCACTACCACATGCGAGTGTTCTCCTGAGAGAGGGAGCATGTTGGGATTCTATGCAGCACAGGTGGTGAGAGCTTCCCACGCGATAGGTCCCGTGGAGAGGCCGTGAGAGATGGAGGCAGAGCACACAGGCCTCGGGGCCTGCATCAGCTCCTGGGCCGCTGCAACCACAGCGTCCGCTCTGCAGTACTGACTACGGGCAGTGGTTCCAACCCACCTGGCTGAGGGATGAGTCACGAGAGAAAAAAAGAAGGATCAACAAAATTAAACTCAAGTAAAAGCTAGCGATTCTGTACACAGACCTGGTTCTCTCACTCTAGATCTGTGACTTGGAACATCACCCATAACCAAATAAACGGCCCCTCTTCAGTGAGGCCACGGCTCTCAATTTTGTTGCAGTCCTCACTAGACCCTAACGTCCAGCACCTGGTCTCCTCTTGTTGGTATTATCTAATTTCTTTAGGTGTCTTGAGATGCCACTTTTTTAGAAGCATTTCCTCGTGAGACTTGAAAGGAAATTAGTCTTGGAATGATGGCAAAAGCAGTTTATAATTTAAAACATTTCACTTTTATGAGACTAACATTGATTTGTCATTGTTTCTACTAAATATGGAAAAAAAATGTGCAGCATTTGAGGCAAAGATACATCCAAACGCCTTTAAAAAGGAGTCACCACCAACATTAAGATGGTGATTTCGTTGATTTAATAAACCTCCAGCTGAGAGAGTAAAAGAGACTGCGCCTGCCACAGAGGCAGGGGCGGGGGTTGGGGGAGATGGGAGGGATGCTGGGACCATTGGTGGTGGAGAATGGGCACTGGTGGAGGGATGGGTACTCAATCATTGTATGACTGAAACATAAACACGGAAGTTTGTAAGTATGTAACTATACCTCGCAGTGATTCACTAGAAAAATAAAAAACTAAAAAAAAAAAACCACCTCTAGTTGCAAAAATATCTAGGGAGTAGAATGGAGGGGTGGAAGATGCGGAGGCTGGAGCATCATGTCATGCTGCTGAGGAATCCGAGGGTCCTACCTTCAGGTCACTCATCTTCCTTACTACCCATCAGATACACCCTCCTGTTGATCACCGATTTGCTTGAGCGGGCTCAGTAACGTCTCCATTGGAGACTTTGTTGTTACTGTGTCTGGCATATCGAATACTCTCGGTAGCTTGCCGGGCTCCCCAAGAGGGGCGGAGGAATTGAACTTGGGTCGGCCATGTTGGCCGCTTGTAAGGCAAACGCCCTACCCGCTGTGCTATCGCTCCAGTTTCTGCGAAATTCCACGCTCGGCTCACAATGCCTTGCAGGTCACACAGGGCCCACCTTCTGCCGGTATAAACAGAGCCTGATTGGAAATCAGAGACAGCTGCCCACTCATGGATCATCAGACAGCGTCCGTGCTCCAGAGCAGAGCTGACTTGCTGTGACAAAGTTCTGTACCTCACGAAGCCAAATATATTTATTGGCTAGCCCTCTGTAGAGGTCTCGCCCTCCTCTGGCTTCCACACTTTCCACTCCACTGTAGAATCTGAGTTGTCTGATGTCCCAGAAGATTTGCTGCTAATTTGGGGGGAAGCGGCCCTTCTTGCTGAGATGCAGGGCATGAGAGGGCAGACATCTTCCAGCTCCCAGCTTAGCGCCTGCTCACGAGGGGCGGTGAGTCTGACTGCGAGGAGCCCCCACCACAATGGGGAGGCCTTGGGCAGGAGCACATCTCCTTCCTACTACTAGGCACTAGGTGCTGTGTCATCTGCGCCTCTTTCTACTCGACAGACCTAGGCCTCCGCTCTTCCAAGGAAGACATGAGTGGACGAGAGACAGAGCCTCTGCAGTGAACAGACCCCAACGCTACTCAACTTCACCTCTCAAGTCAGCTGCCCGAGGGACTGAAGCTGGACACCCACATCTCTACCCCGGGGCTGGGAATCAGCCCAGTTTTGCACCTGTTCCTTCTCATTCCCCAGAATCTGAAGTTTAATGCTAATCCTAGCAACTCATCCCTGCTTACCTGGGCCACCCCCCACCCGAAGCCTGGGTCCTCTCACCCTCTTACTCCTCCAGCTCTCAATGGTAAGTGCTCTCAGCTGAAACTCTTAGCAGTCCTATTTTCCAGGAGTTTGGGCAAAGAAACGTCTACAGGGAGCAGGCTGGGATACTCCTGGAGCAGCCTCCTCATGCAGAGGATGAGCCCCTGGAGCCTGAAGATCAATTCTATGTTCACCTGCTTGTCTTTGGAGAAGCCCCATTACTCTAGCCCATTGCCACTATCACCACCTCGTCGGCCTGTCTCCCTCCATTCTTTCCACCCCCATAAACTCTATACAGGAACCAGCATGACCTTTCAGAAAAGTAACTTACTAAGTAAGTTGCTCTCGTGCTAAACTCTAGACTTCCCAGTGCACTAAGAATCAAATCTTCAACCTGGTTGATGAGTCCTGTTCTGATCTAACTGTGCCTGGAACCGCACTCATCATGATCCCTTCTCCCAAGTAAGATGCCCGCCTCAGATGCTTTCTGGATGAATCCAAACAAGCCCCCCCCCCACCGGGGGGCTCTGAGCATGCCTGTCCCATAGCTGAGAAGATTCATTCGTGAATTCTGCATGGTGAGCTCCTTCTCTTTGCAGGCTCTGCTCAAATGTCATTCTTCAATCGTTGGATCTGACACCATACCCAGCCCTGACTCCAGCATTAATGGCTCACTGAAGTTAAACATCTGTTGACTGACATATATTCAAGCTCCTTCCTCTATAACACAGAACTCCAAGAGAGAGAAGTCTGCCTTGATCTACAGTCTATTCCCAGTGCTGGTTTAGTACCCAACACACAGGGGGCCATTTCTTAAGTATCTCTCTGTTCTCTTCAAGTGCAAAAAATCCAACTTTTCCACAGTCACTTCTAAAAGGAACGTCACTATTCCTAAAGGAAACACTTCAAGCAGCTTTAGAAGTGGCCAAGGTTTCCTTCACCCAATTCTGCACAAGGCTAGGCTGTACCTTTCCCCACAGCCAGGACAAGCAGGGCCATCCCCATTGGAAAGCCACACTTCAAAAAATGAGTCCATACCAGCTTTAAGGAGGAATGTAATTGAAAACATGAAAATTTATTCTAAGTTGTATCTTAACATACGAGATCTCAGCTTTAGATGAATTTTAATGTTTACAAGTGCAAAAGCAAATAAATATTTACCAGTTGCTTTTTTTTTGCACTCTTATAACTCCACAACAGCTTAGATGCAAAAAAAAAATTGTTGCTAAACATCTTGTAGTCTGGCAAAAGAAAGAATTTCTTATTAAGAAAACCCCTCACAACAATAACAACCCCCTCATGCTCACAGCTCCTGTGCTGAAACTATCAGGGTGGTTCATTAAGATCTGAGCATATGAGAGTGCAATTCTACTGCCATCATCCTTGATGGGGGGTCCAATCCTCACAGGGGACATGGGTGCTCAGACCAACATGCCGGGGCCTCCCCACTTATAAACTGGGAAATTCACACAATGGTAATCTCTGAATGAAAGCACAATTTCTTGGGTCAAGACCAACTCTCCCTAACTTTGATGCCCTTATTCTTTAAGTTTCAATGTAAATATCATTTTTCCTAACTGACATTTCTTCTTTTTTTCCTTCCTTCTCTCCTTCCTTCTCTCTCTCTCCCTCCCTTCCTTCTTTTCTTTTTGCAGTGCCAGGGATCGAACTCAGGGTCTCACACACACAAAGTGCTCTCCTCTGAGCAACATCCTGGGCTGCAGATTCCTATCTTAGTCAAGATGGATCTCCAGCTTTCTCTCACCCTCTCTCCATCTCCAGCTTTTGTTACCGGGTTCCCTGGATTGCCAGCTACTAGCCACTTTCCAGCCTTAACTTCCTGGTGTGCAGTGTAACTGGGTTCTCCTTCGGGCAGTGAGCCTCAGAAGGTGGCACAGTTCAGGAGGGTCAGCACCCTTCTAAGATTTTGCCAAGAAACACACATCAAGGCCAGATTTATTCCACCAAGAATAAAAGAGCAGAGGCCAGAGAGATAGTAAATGGCGTAACGCACTTGCCTTGCACGTAGCTGACCTAAGTTTGATCCCTAGCATCCCACATGGTCTCGTGAGCACTGCTAGGAGTGATTCCTGAGTGCAGAGCCAGGAGTCACCCCAGCCGTGGCCCCCAAACAAAAACAAGAGAAAACAAAAAGAGCTGATTTTCTGCCTACCCATTCAGACTCACCCTTGCCCATCTGTGACGTGTGTGACTTCATGAATGAATCATGTATCATTTCAGGCATAACAAGCACTTTGTGGGCCTCTGTCCCCAGCCCCCTCCAATTATTCGTCGCAAAGGACCCGACCGTGCCAGCCAGGTGGAACCTCCCGTGAGAACTGGGGCACTTACTTACCTGGGTTAACAGTGATAAACTTGCTATCCTCGGAAAATCGGTCCCCTCGGGATGCAGGCTTTTTAGATGGCATCTCAGGCCTCCTGGGATCACTCCCTTCATAATGTTCCTCTGTGACTGTGGGGGGCACTTGGGTGGCGGAGACGGAATCGGGGTGCAGATTGGGGTGATTATCCCTGGTGTCCTCGGGCTGGTCAGTAGGGCTGGCACTGGGGTCATGCCCAGGTATAGTCTGACGCCCGCCCTCTTGGGCAGTCCTATTGGGAGTCGCGGGGCTGGGGGTGGGCTGGGTTTGGTTCTGCTCCTGGGCCGTGCGCGCCACCCCATTCTTCTCCTTCTTCTCGGAGTCCTTTTCCCCCTCCTCCTCATGCTCCCGCTCCCCATCCTCGCTCTCGCTCTTCTCATCCTTCCCCCCTTCCTCGGCACCCTCGCCATCCTTGGTTGGGGCTGCATCAGCGTCGGAGCTTGGGGCGGCCAAGGCCTCCGTGGTGGCCAGCACAGGCCGGCCTGCCTGTTTGCTGGCCGCAGCGGCTGTGGGCAGGCGGGTGGGCCACACAGTGCTGGGGAAAGAGGAGATGCCACCGCCGCCGAACCCGAGGCCGGCCAGGAGCGTACTGGTGACCACTGAGGCCACGGTCGCTTGGCTGCCGCTGGATGATGGGCCCATGCCGGTTGCCATGGAGACGAAGGAGAAGGGGATGCCAGAGGATGTCCAGGTGGACGAGCCGGAGCTGATGGGGGCCATGTCGGCTGAGGAGGCCGGAGACGCTGTGGGCTGGAAGGAGACATCCAGGCAGATGGGAGGAAAGGGGAAGGGAAGAGAAAGCAGTGAAGCGTCAGTCACGCAAATTGGGGACCACTCTCTCAGGGGGACCTACTCATCCCTCACTTTACGCAAGGGCCCCAGAACTTGGTACAATAAGGTATCTTGGGGCTGGAGCAATAGCACATCGGGTAGAGTGTTTGTCTTGCACGCGGCTGACCCGGATTCCATTCCCAGCATCCTATATGGTCTCCCGAGCAACGCCAGGAGTAATTCCTGAGTGCATGAGTCAGAAGTAACCCCTGTGCATCGCCGGGTGTGACCCAAAAAGAAAAAACAAGCAATAAGCTATCTCAGGCGGCCCCTGGATGGTCAGAACTGGTCTGAGTGGCCTTACAATGAGCTGCGCGTGCACCCAAATCTTCACTGACAAAGTAAACCTGACTTTTCACCATGGTTTCTTAGGAAAAGAGGCCGATCTTTCAAAGGTCGAGGAAATGACCGAGATGGACGAGCACATGCTGGGTACGCTGAAGCCCCACGTTGATCCTGAGCACTGAGCTGGGAACAGCTGCTAACCACCTTGGATGTGGCCAAAAAACCCAACCAAACGAAAAAGAAACAAAAGAGGTGAGAGCAGTAGCTGAGAGGCTAGTGTTCGGATTTAATCCTGGGCACGCATGATCCTCCGTGTGCCAGGACAGTCCACCTCAGCGCCTCCAAACCAAAACAAACAAATAAAACCAAACACATGAAAATCAAAGGGCTGGAGAAATTGTGGAGGTTCTGGCTTTGCCAAGTGGCCAATTCCTCTTGCTTTGCAAGAGTTCAGTCCCTGGCAACTCCATATGTTCCCCTGGGCCATGCAAGGAGTGGTCCCAGAGCAAAGGGCCAGGAGGTTAAATCCTGAACACAGCTGGGTGTGGTCCCAGAGTAACAAGCCAGGAGATAAACTGTGAACACGGCTGGGTGTGGCCCCCAAACCAGAAAAATAAAAACCTTAATTACAAACATTTCCAATAAGTAATGAAACTGGCGGTAATTGAAGGGAGGGCGGTGGAAGGGGCAGGGGGGTCACGCTGCTTCTATGATCTCTGGCCCTGCTAGAGAACACACAGCTTTGCTTGGAGAAAGGCAGAGGACTCTGCTTTCTGCCCTCCGACATACAGGAAGGGAGTGGACAGACTGGAGAGCTTTCTGTCTGCCCAGGTCTGCAGCAGCAGAAGGCAGAGCTCCTGGCACCAGCAGCTTCCAGAACCAGCTTATGGCAGCCCTGCTCGGCCAGGCTCGGTCCCACACAGCTGCTGCATCTGTCAGTCTCTGGGCTGATCCACAGCGAAGCTGTTCCTGTGCGGACAATGGCAACCAGCAGAGATCCAGGGGCAGCATGTGCCAGGATGTGTCACATACCCAGTATGTCGCTACCCACGACCAATGCCCCATTTTCCAGGGGAGGGACCGGGGCACAGAAATGTTGAAGCTGACAGGCCTGGCTGGCTGTGCTCAAAGCTTGGCAAGTTCTGACCACTGCACTGGACAGGGGTTTCGGGGTGAGATGCATCCCTCTCTCTGAGTTACTTACCTTTTAGCTCACAACACAGTGCTCAGAACTGAGAATGGCATCCATGATCTCTACCATCCGAATCAACACAGCCAGAACAAACCTGCTTTCCTAACCGGATCATCAAGGTTTCGTCTGACAGTGAAGGGTGATGAGTAAGCAAGCGCTGAGCTCTGAGCGTGGCTGATGACAGGTCACATAAGCCGAGGCATTTACTCTCTGGGAGGTGCTGGGCACATTAAGGCCCCGGCCTCAGTTTCCTCAGTTGTAAAATGAGAATAAGCACAACAATCTTGTGAGATGCTGGCTGAACTAAATGAAATAATCTGGGCTAGAAAGCCCTAGTAATTTTTAGGCGATTATTGTTAACACTGACGCTGTGATAATATGAGGACTTGAGTTGCTCCAGAAATTTGCAAATCCAAATAGCTCTGTGCAAATGAGAGCCTCTGAATTTAGCATCTGACATAATGAAAGGCCTGAGCCGACGCTCTTACCTTTCTATCCCACAGACAGATAATTAGAAAAACAAAGAATTTTTTTTTTTACCTTGACAAAAATTAATCAGAACCATCAGTACTTTAACTCCAGGGGACAGCTTGTTTTCACAACGAACTTCACTAGAGTGATGGAAATTTGGGGGTCTTTTCACACAAAACAGTTTCACAACATTATACTGCCACCTCGTGGCGATGGTGTAAACTACATGCAGATTAATAACCCAAACCCATGACAAATCATTACCATTTTCTACTTACCACTCCTGTTTTAACAATTCTGGTCCCTTGGAATATTCGCGTGGTATTAGCTGAGAAACAAAGAAATTACATTGTAAAAAATACAGCATTTTTGGGCGGCTGCTTCTTCCAAAATCTTTTCTTAGGGACATAACTCTGAATTACATTTTTCACTAGTCACAGAATGTTATTCCTCTTCAGATATTTTCGGTCAAAACAAAAGTATTTTAGTCATGTTTTCTTACTGAGGTGAAACTTACCTAAAGCAAAAATGTACACAATATTGAAATCTGTGGGCCGGAGTGATAGTACAGTGAGGAGGGCGTTTGCCTTGCAAACCTGGGTTCAATCCCTGGCATCCTTTATGGTCCCATGAGCAATGGCAGGACTAATTAATTCTCGAGTGCAGAGCCAGGAGTAACCTCTGAACATCGTCGGGTATGACCCGAAAAGCCAAAAAATATATACTGAAGTCTCTAGTCTGATTCATTTTTACCTCTACAAATACCAGTGTGTCACCCACAGAGATACGGACATTCTTCAGGACCGGCTTGGCTTACGCCCATCTAGTCAGTAACTGCCCCCACCAGGCCAGAGAGATGCTGCAGGGGTTAAGCAGTGTGCCTTGCATGCAGCTGACCCTGGCTGAATCTCCCCCACTAGAGAGGCATGTTCACCCACGCACCGCCAGCAGTGACTTCTAGGCTCAGAGCCAGGAGTGGCCCAGGGGACCCCAGGTGTTCCTCCAGCCTGCTCCCACACCCACTCCCCCCTTCCCAAAACGGAACCATCAGTATAATTTCTGCTCCAGTTTTGTCCCTTTTGAATGCCATAGAAACGGATTATTATTCCATTGTTCTATGATTATTTCTGCTTATAATTTCTTATCCTCTTGCTGACTATCACATGCAGCTTAAATTTATTATAGATTATATTCAATTAGTAATTTGACTATTCCCCCCCCTCCAAAAAAATCTAAAAAAATGTACTGTGGTCCAACTCTATTTGTAAACTGTTATAACACATTTTAAAGTCTTTTTTTTTAAGGTGGGGTTTCCAAGCTATTTTCAAGAGGTGCCTAAGGAACAACCCCCCCCCCACACACACACACACATACACAGACACACAGACACACACTGAAATCTGGCTCAAGTGAATCAGCATTTGGTCAGGCACATGGTGCTTCTTAGACCCCCTGGAGCTGGAAACCCCCTTTCCAGGCCACCCTGGTGATGCCTGGGGGTGCTTGGGTCTGCCCAGTGATGCTTGGGGGACCATACGGTGCTCAGGCGTAAATGTGGGTCGGACATGTGCCTTAACTTCTGTGTTATCTCCTGGCCCTCAACTGTTTGAAAACCCCCGTAGATACTGCCACTCTTTGGTGGACCCCAAGGTGACAGTGTTAAGTGCAGTAAATCAGGACAAAGAAGACATCACCAGCGTCGGAGAATCAGGGGTGGCCCGAACCTTCCTCCACAAAATAAAAAGAAAAAAGGCAACACTCATCTTGCTTGGAGAAGAATATAAACAACTAGAGGAAATGAACTGGCAAAAGCCAGGGACACTGTGAGACTCAGTGAAAACTCTGGTGGGGAGGGAAGGGAGAATGGCAGGGATGGAAGAGGTGGGAGAGGTATTTTGGGTGGTTCTGGGACTTTGTTGGTGAGTGAGAGGAATCCTGTACACAGAGCAGGGTGAGAGGTGTGCTCCTGAATCTTCCAGACCTGGGACTCAGTCATCCATCAGTAAAAATGGGGGGAAATATATCACCACTGTTGCTTTAAATGGACACACTCTTTTTTTTCTGTGCTTTTGGGGTCACATCCAGCGATGCACAGGGGTTACTCCTGGCTCATGCACTCAGGAATTACTCTAGGCAGTGCTTGAGGGACCATATGGGATGCTTTGAATCGAATCCGGGTCAGCCGTGTGCTGGCAAATGCCCTACCTGCTGTGCTATCGCTCCAGCCCCAAATGGTCACTCTTACTAGGAATCTCCTGATCACCTTCCTGGTATGATTTCTTCTATTTATTGCCATAGTAAAACCATTTAACAAGATTAAAAAAATTTTGTGTGTGTGTGTGTGTGTGTGTTTGGGTCACAACCAGTGGTGCTCAGGGCTTACTTATGGCTCTGTGCTCTAGGATCACTCCTGGAGGAGCTTGGGGGACCATGTGAGGTGCTGAGGATTGAACACAGGCTGGTTGCATGTAAGGCAACCACCTTACCTGTTGTACTATCTCTCCAGACCAACAATATTTTTAAGCTGTGGTAAAACCCATATAATGTACCTTTGCAATGACTCCTAAGAGAATAGCACAAGAACGTTAAGGGTGACCAAGGTCACATTATTGTGTGACGAATGGCTAGAACTTCATTTATGGCTAGAACTTCATCTTGCCCCACGCGCAGAAGCTCTAGACTCACTCAATGTTCACCCCCTGGCCCCCCTTCCTCAGCCCCTGATGATCCTCACAGTCCTTTCTGTGCCTGTCAGTCTAATTAGAGATCCCCACATAAGCGAATCAGCCGTATCTGCCTTTTTGTGACTGGTGAAGTCCACCGGTATCTTAGCTTAATGTCCTCAAGGGTTCATCCAGGTGATGGCATGTGCTAGAATTTCCTTATTCTTTTAAAGTTGGCTGGTATTCTATTGTATGTATTCATCACATTTCACCCGCTCAAAGGGTAGCAGAGTGACTCTCACCGTTTTGCAATTGTGAATAAATAGTAGAACTTACACACACACACACACACACACACACACACACACACACACACACACTGATTCTGGATCAGAGACACAGTACAGGGGTTAAGGCTCTTGCCTTGAATTTAGCTGACTTGGTAGGTCCCTGGCACTGAGCCCCACTAGGAGTGATCCCTAAGTGCAAAGCTAAGAGTAATCCCTGAACACACGCAGGTGTGCCTCAAACCAAAAAAACAAACAAACAAGACCCTTTGAGTTATCTAAAACAACAATACAGTGTACAAACAAAAAAATCTGCTTTCCATACATACAGATGTCCCTGAAGTATAAGCAAAATAGGTGCGCCACACCAAAATCAGAAATGTTTCCAGCTCGGGGTTTTCCTGAACCAGAAGAGGAATACATTTCTGTGGGACCCACAAGCTTCTTTAAGAAAAAGCTTGCTGCCAACACTGCCAGGAGCAGCGTTCATCTAGGACCCCCGATTACCTGATCCTCCTGGGGAAAAAAAAATCCCACTGGGAAAACCTGAGCTCATCTTCCTGCAGGGCCCGTTTAAGGGGGATGGGGTGTCTGCAACCTCCTCCAGGGTGGGCGTGAGCGCCCCAGGTCCCACTGCGGAGCCCTTTCTCCCACGTCCACGTTCCCTGTCTGGTGTCATGGCAGGGGCTGCCCACAACCTGAGATGTTATTTATTCAGTGTGGCTGCAAAGGAAGTGTGCAGTGGAGAATTGGAGTCTATATAAACCCGAGTCAGGTGAAAGAAGGAAAGGAACAGCGAACCACTCTGTCCTGGGATTAAACATGACCTTCCTCCCTCCTTCTGCTGTTCCTGGATCGATGGTGCTGGCCGCAGACAGGCACACGCACTGCCCTGTGTTAAGACAAGCAAGAAGGGGCCCAGGAGACCTCGCTCCCTGCCCTTTAGCCCGGGCTCCAATTAAGGCCGACAAGCTCAGCAGGCACGCCGTCAGCATGTCCGCTTTCTGCAGAACTGCTGCCAGGCTCAGTCTGGGAAGGGGAACGTGCACACCGGGAGTGCTCACTCTGGGTGCCCAGAGCCGCTGGAGTTGAGGAATTGGGAAACGCTCACACCTGAGTTTCCAGGGCCAGCGAGAAGACAGAGAGTAGGGTGCTCGCCTGGTACTGTGTGCCGGAATCCCTTATAGTCTTCTGAGGCCCCCAGGAGGGATCCCTAAGTACAGAGCCCAGAAGAAGCCCTGAGCACCGCCCGGTGCAGCCCCCAAGCAAAAACACCTGAGCCCTCGCGAAACTCTTGCTGAGAAGAAGCACGAGGATGCAGGTGAGTTTCTCAGCTGTATTCAGAGCCCCGGTGACTTTGTCTCTGCTTAAAACCCCTTCTGTTCATCTGCCTTCCTAGTCCTATAGAGCACCTTGGGGATGTGATCCTATGTCCAGAAATCACGGTTGCTAATAGATCTTACTTAATATGTCCATTCAAAAAGCACATCCAGGGGCTGGAGCAGTAGCACAACGGGTAGGGTAAAACATGTCTTGCACGCAGCCAACCCTGGTTTGATTTCCAGCATTCCATATGGTCCCTTGAGCACTGCCAGGAGTAACCCCTGTGCATCGCTGGGTGTGACCCAAAAAGGAAAAAAAAAAAGGCACATCCGTCGCTGCTGAATTCCAAGTTTATTTGTGTATAATATTTGGATGACAATATTTGAACATAATTCCCCCCCCCCTATTTTATGCATTTCTTCAAAACCACTTGTAGGGGGGAAACTTTGCCAGGTGCTCAGTGGAGTTGTGACTGAAGGGAAAAGAATCAGAACTCTTATCTTGTTTTTTGTTTTTCCCTTGGGTCCCACTTGGTGGTGCTCAGGGTGAATTCTGGCTCTGTGCTCAGGGATCACCGCAGGCCACTACTGGGCGACACCAGCATGCTGGGGATCAACCCCACGCTGGCTGAACGCAGAGCAGCGCCTTCGCCATGGGACGGTCTCCAGTCTCCAAAACCATTACTTTCCAGGACCTCTAAGAACAGCAAAAAAGGCACTGAACACTCAGCCATCAATCTTTTCCACCCATTTATTACAAATAGAGTAGAACATAATATTGACTCTGTAGGGGTAACGGTGGGCTTGCTACTGTGCATAACTCATTGGGCTTTGGAACAAGCAAACCAGACTCAACTCAGAACTAATTTAGAACCTGATTTCCCCCATCTCAGATTCCAGAGCTGGGACACCATCGCGCCATCTGTGAAACACTCCCAGCTGCCAAGGCGGTAGGCTCAGGTGCGGTAACCGGTGTGCAACTGTAATTGTGAGCCACTCTCCAGGTGCCGCTTGCTACTCTTACTATCATTCCTCCATGCCAGGGAAGGGAAATGCAACATTTTTGGGCATGTGATCTTGAACAGGAGTGTTGGTGGTGTACTTCCTGCACTAGAGGGAATGCCGCAGGAAGCTTGCCCAGGCTCTCGAACCCTGTGTCGAAATTATCTAGTCACGCAGAACAAGGCTGCCATGGAATTCTTTCATCATTGCTGGGCGCCCTTTCACCTCTTCAGTCCTGTTAGTTGATGGATCCCAATTTTGGCCTTGACCACTCCTCCACTGAGGGGAGCGGCAGATTGGGCTTTTGTCTCCATGATGCCCCTGGCAGCTGCAGGGAAGATGCCAGTAGCGACCACAGGAAGGAATGAAGGGCCATGCCCTTTTGTGGGCATCAGGGCACAAGTGCCAGTAGGGACTTGAGGCAGACTGGTGCCTCCCTCAGCACAGTTGGCAGACAAAGGAGTCACTGGCCATTTCCATTAAGTCATGATGGCCGGAGAGCTTAAATATTCTGGGCTTTCCATTTCTTTTTTTTCTGCAGAGAAGGCCTTTTTGAATTGCAATATATTATAAACATTTAATTTTTCAAAGTCTATTCAGAAGGCTGCCGGTTCAGGGGGGTCTATTAATCAGGAAAGGCAGTTCTGCAGATTCCCGGATCTTGGGGGAGCCCATGAGAGGCCCTAATCATGATTTATGTGACCATAGTGCCAACCCCCACCTTGCCTCAGCAAGCTCCCTCTCCGGTGTCCACGCTCTCTCCCCCAGTCAGGCAGGCACCTAGCTGGGCCTGAGGCCTCTCAGCACAGGCTAACTGGACAAAGCATTCAAGGCACAGGGGAACCCAGAGAGCAGGGGTTCTCTGGGAAATTAACATAGCCATATTATTCTCCACGTATTCAAATAAAGGATGAGCTCCATGTGAATATTAGCAAAAGAATATTTAAATACGAAATGCAAACTCATAAGCCAAAGGGAGTCCTGGGAGAAAATCTAGGCTACGGGGCTCCTAAACGCAGGCTTCAATACTTATTACCAGACACACGACAGAGGACGAGCAGGATATTTTTCACCAGAGCCAGGCATAATGATAATTACTTGAAGCCCATCATTCCGCAGGGTCCTCAGAGGTCGGTACTATCAAGGCTCGGGCAGTTGGGTTCAGGAGCTGTGGCTCAGGTCAGTGAACATGATCAGTTTTCTCACACTAACTCAAACCTGGGTCCTCATTCCAGGCCCCCAGACCTAAACCTTTCACATTATCCACATAGATGCCGCTCACCCGAGGCCCTCTCGTGAAATCTCACATTCCTGGGTTCTGACCCCCACAACCTCCATTCCGACTCCAGGCAATGAGGATGCAGGTTTCAGACCTCTACCAGGCCACCCCTGAAGTGGTGGTATGCAAAATTTTGATAGGGAAAAGGTCAAAAGACTTCATCAGAAACCTGATTCAGGGGCTGGAGTGACAATACAGTGAGTGGGGCCTTTGTCTCACATGTAGTTGACCTGGATTTGATCCCTGGCATCCCCTATCCCCTGAGCACCACCAGGAGTAATTGCAGAGTCCAAACCCTGAGCATAGCAGAGTATGACACCCCCCCTCCCCTCAAAAAAATAAAAAAAAAAACCCAAAACACCCAAACGACCAACCAAAAAAACAAAATACTGCCTCAAAGGGCTTGAGGTGGGACTGGAGAAGTAGTCCAGTGAGTATGGTGTTTTACATACAGTCAACCGGGTTTGGCCCTAGATACTACACATGGTCCTGCTGGGAGTGACACCTGAGTGAAAAGTCAGGATCCCTGAGCACTGCGAGGTACGTCCACAAAGCCAAAACCATAACCAAAAACAGAGGGCTAGGAAGATAGGACAAAGGCTAGAATACATGCGTTTCCTGATGGAAGCCTAGGTTTGAGTCTGGGAAGCATATATTCCCCTGAGCATATGGGGTAGGGCCCCCCAAACAAACAAACAAACAACAACAACAACAAAAACTGAGAAGGGAGTACTTTATTGTGGCAAAACTGAGCCAAATAGCCCTGTTTTATCTCCACATTGGTCCAAGGGCAAATGGCAAACTGAACTTCAGCTGTGTGTGTGTGTGTGTGTGTGTGTGAGTGAGAGAGAGAGGCTGGGTGTCTTTGTGTGTGTGTGTGTGTGTGTGTGTGTGTGTGTGTGTGTGAGGCTGGGTGTCTTTGTGTGTGTGTGTGTGTGTGTGTGAGAGAGGCTGGGTGTCTTCCTGTATATGTGTGTGTGTGTGTGTGTGTGTGAGGCTGGGTGTCTTTGTGTGTGTGTGTGTGTGTGTGTGTGTGTGTGAGGCTGGGTGTCTTTCTGTATGTGTGTGTGTGTGTGTGTGTGTGTGAGGCTGGGTGTCTTTCTGTGTGTGTGTGTGTGTGTGTGTGTGTGTGTGTGTGAGGCTGGGTGTCTTCCTGTATATGTGTGTGTGCGTGTGTGTGTGCATGCGTGCACATACACACACGCCACACCCTATGATGCTCAAAATTTACTCCTGGCTCTTCACTCAGGGAATCACTCCTGTGACCCTAGTAGGAACGAATGGGGTGCCAGGGATGAAAGCCAGGTGCAAGGCAAGTGCCCTACCTATTGTACTATCTCTGGTCTCGGCTATCTGTCTTTGTAAATAAAGTTTTATTAAAACCAGGACTAGGATTAGGTTGCAGCAAATAAGACATAGCAGAATCTGCCTTTATTTAAAATTCTGATACTTTGTTCCTTCAATTTTTACTTTAAAAAAAATCCCGTGAAAATATTCTGTATCTTGATGACTAAATTCTTTTGGCACCCCTTTAAATTCAGTTTCAGGGGGAATACTTAGTTCTGGTTCCGGTCCTTTGTACTAGTTCCTAAGCAGCGGGAGCTGATCTTCCTAAGGTCTGAATCTTAGGCAGCCCAAGGATCCTGCCAGCAGGGGCCAGCTTGCAAGATTTGCAATAAAAGGCAGATCTGTCTAGGTACCTTCCAGAAGTTCTTGGATGTCCCAGAAATTCAAAGAGGACATCTGACACTAAGGCCTAGAGAGGATTTTATGACTTGACAAAGCATTAAATATCAGATGCATAAAAGGTCCAAATAATCGGGGGCTCGGTAGGTAGCACAGGGATCAAGGTGTAAGCCCAAGGCCAATCTGATTTCCAGTAGCACCAGTAAGTGTGGCCCTGTTAGTTCCTGGTTCTATAGGACCTGAGTGCACTCATTCTCAGGTCCTAGCACCAAACACCGGCCCAGCTGGCCACAAAAAGCCAGGAGATGTCCCTGGGCTTCCTTAGGAAATTGAAAAAAAAAAAGAGGGGAGCAACACCTTGCCTTTCGTCCTCCCCTCTTCTGGTCTAGGAAACCCTTCAACCTCAGGTCTCCCTTCCTGAGGCTTTTCAAGCATCCTTTTACCCCCACACTGATTCTGAGGCTGGGCTTGTCTGGGTTTTGTACGAGCACCTGAACAGGCAAGAAGGGTTTAAAGTATCAAAGTGGGGTTCAGGGCAGCCAAGCCGGACCCAAAGGGAAACCAGCCTCACCTTGGAAGAGCATCGTCTGGCTGAAGTCGCTGCGCATGTCGTTCCGGCACACAGCCTGGACGCGGAAGAGGTAAAGGCTATCGGGTGAGACATGGCTAATGGTGGCTTTCTGTGGGCGGAGAAAAAAAAGAAGCGGTGAGTTCTGAAGCTTGGCACATACTTAGCTTATAACGGCAAACCTAGAGTGTCTGACAGGTTCTGGGGACCTTGGTAACATCTAACAGTCTATCTCCCCATCAGTGGGCTCGCTTTGAAAAGAAAACGCGCTCAGGACTGACCCTGTTCACATCACTGAAGCATATAGGAGAGGGGAATTAACAAACCGGTCAATGCATGCTCCTGACCCTGCCCTGGCCCGTGTCTCCTCTACGCTCATCAGGCTGGGCCTTGTTTTCCAAACTACTCTACCTTGAAAAGGTTAATTATCTCCGTAGCTTCTGAAATTCTCACTAGACTAAATTTCCAGGGTGAGACAGTTGAGGGTTTCAATGATTTAAAAAAATAATAATAATAATCTCTGCCTGTTTCTTTGCAACATAAAGTCCTCTCTGTGTCTTAAACCATTTGCTGGGTGCTGTGGGGCATGAGCTGGTGACCGGTTGGCTACCAGTGACGTGTCGTAAAACCCAGCCTTGACACAGACACTTCCCAGCTGTGTGACTTTGTGCCAGTTTATTCCATGACTTTCAGCCTCTGCTTCCTTCATTTCTAAAACAGGATTTCGGGGAACCCCTACTTCCCACGGTGCTCATGAGAACTAGCTAACAAAGGACGAGAAAGCCTCCTTCACATGCAGCCCACAGCTTGCAACAGGAAGAATGCTGCACCCCATGGCCAAAGCAGGCCCTCGGTCTGCTTTTGTAAATAAAGTTTTATTGGGCCAGAGCCTTGCCTACCCACCGACATGGTGTTTAAAGAGTGTCTGCCCTCCAAGAGTAGAGCAGTCCACCTAGCAACCTTAGTGAAAAAGCCTGAAATCTTTACGATCTGGCCCTTTCTAGAAAGAATCCACCCATCCCTAGCCAAATGGCCACCCGCCTCATCCAGATATTCATTCCTCCCTGCTTGATTCCCGGAGCCTTTCAAAAGGAGAAAATGGAGAAGCACTAACAAGCGGAGAGAACTTGCTTGGTGAAGAGACAACAAAAGGCACTGATTTTCAAAGCCTTCCTAATGGATGGAGTGTCTTGTCATTGAAATGTGGGTTCCTGGCCATGGCAGCAGCTCAATGTGCTTGAACCCAGTGGGCGCTCCCTACAGAGCTGCTGCAAACCTCTGTGCAGGTATTGAAATGTTACTATATGACACAAGCTGCTCCTGCCAGGGAGAGTGGCCTCCTGGTGGGGGGCCGAGACCAGGTCATTTACTGTCTGCCACCTCACTGAGCATCTCTGGAAAGGGTGGGGATCCCACTGGCCACCCCCCAGGCTTGCCCTAAAGACATGAAAGAGGCCCGGGTTGCTGGGTAAAGCAAGACAACTGTGATGTTTTATAGAGATTTCTGGGCTGCAAGTTAAGAGAACAGCTTGGTTGCCACTAAGTCAGCACTCCTGACTTCTTGAGGAATTAAGAAAATTAATTTTGTGTGTCCCCAAAGAAAATTACCAACCCTAAAAATTCTTATAAAACAGAACTTGCTGTCAAAGCATGTTTTTCTCTTCATCTCTCTCTTTCTTCAGAAACTAATTTATGCCTCATTCTCTAAACCTCTGACCCCATCTTCTGTTCAGAGCAAAATCTTCCCTCCATCTAGGCAGGGATTTATTAGAATTCACTCCAAGCCGGTATCTATTCATCTTTGCATGTTTAATTATTTTCCACTTAGAACAAGAGACCGCCTAAGCGTCTAGATCGTTTCTGCTGATTAATGCAAGCCATCCTGACTTCAGAAAGAGGAAAAAATCCCTTACGGACTTCCAATAGCGACAAGAGAAAGGTGGAAATACATCATAACCTTGGGTGCCTTTCAAAAGCCGCCTCTCTGATTTCATGAAGCTCATCATTCCCTAACGTGGCCCAGATAACAATGTCTAGTGGGAAAATTGAACATATAAATGGAAATGAAGTAAAAGAACCTTCATCTGAAGGAAGAGGGAAAAATAATCCTGTAACTGATTGAATGGGCCATTGGAGCTCCACTGGGAGAAACCAAGGGGGAACCACTGTTAGGAATCCTACTGTAAATATTGTTTATGTCAACTATATTTCTAGTACTCTATCGTGCTTTTCACGTGTTCAGACAATCACAGGTCTCCTTTTTCAAAAACTGTCCTCTGATGAAATAATGCACACAGCGCTTTCGGCCCAAACATGTGTCTTTGTGTTTCTATGCAAAAATTGAGACCAGGGCTTGTTGGAGGGTTTGCTTTCAGAGGCGATGAGGATGGCTTCTACCAATGTCGGTTCTCAAGGACTGTGTTGTTGGCTGTCCACTGTAAATCTGGGATGACAACATGAAGTGGGGGTGTGAAGCTGAAAGTCTGATGCTGTAGTGTGTGAGAAGGGTGGTGGGAGCCATGGCCCTATGGGCAAGACAACCATGGGGAAGTGGGGGGGGGAGAGGGAGGAGGAGAAGGGGAGGGAAGGGGGAGGGGGGGAGGAGGGGAAGGGAGAGGGAGAGGGAGAGGGGAGGGGGAGGGGGAGGGGGAGGAGGAGGGAAAAGTCAAACAGTAGCATCTACAGTGCTGATTGCAAGCCAGAGCCCACCGTGCATTTTAGGACTAATTTTATATTTACAATGATTCTATTATATGACTTTGGGGAGGATGGCTATTATTTTACCGATGAAAGGAGGAGTCATCTTGAAGGGCCTAACTATAGAGAAATTCCTTTTCATGGTGGCATGGCTGTCAGGGCTGGGACGGGATTGGGGGCCCTAGCTAAGCACACACTGGCCCCAGGCGACTGGGTCCGACCGAAGGCAGAGCCCATGGGTGTGTGTGTGGGGGTGGGGGTGGGGGGGAGGCTCTCTGCAAACAGGGAGCTTTTACCAAGTCTTTGTCGCTGTCCTTGGTAAACGTTTTCTCCTTCTCATCCTCATTCTTGGTCCAGCTGTAGGAGATCATGTAGTTCATGATGGGAGGGTGATAGATGGTCTCCGGCTGGCTCCAGGAGACCTGCAGCGCGGTCTGGTTCAGAGGCTGCACCTTCATGTGGATGGGTGGCGAGCTGCAGACTGAACACAGACGGGGCCGGGTCAGGGGGGCTCAGCACAACACACATGCACGACCATCCTCCCCTGTGCTTTCCGAGTCTGGCACAAGAAACTCCCTTCACGGAGATCTTCCTGCTGTTAACCTTCACCCGGGCTGGAGCGATAGCACAGCGGTAGGGCATTCGCCTTACAAGCGGCCAACATGGCCGACCCGAGTTCGATTCCTCCGCCCCTCTCGGAGAGCCCGGCAAGCTACCGAGAGTATTCGATATGCCAGACACAGTAACAACAAAGTCTCCAATGGAGACGTTACTGGGCCCGCTCGAGCAAATCGACGATCAACGGGAGGGCCTTTATTATATTATAACCTTCACCCATCTGATCAGCTCTGCTTCCCTCCCTCCCTCCTACACACACACACACACACACACACACACACACACACACGAGTTTTTCTGTGGAATCACTGAAAGGAACTTGCAGATGTCTTTCTCCTTTTTAGCTTTGGGGCCAAACCTAAGGATCACACAGTGCTCTTTGCACCCCTTCTTCCTTGGCTCAAACTTTGGTATCCTCTCCTCTCACCTGCCCTTCCCACACCATTGGGTCCCCCTCAAGAGGCAATTCCTGAGTCCAATCCTCCCCCTCGTGGGTGTGGGAAATAACCTGGTCTCTCTCCGGGTCTCTCACATGATGTACAGCCTGTGCTCCAGCCCCATGAGCGATCTCCTGGCCCAAATCACAGAAATCTTGACATTTGGTTCCCAATTACTGCGCCTGCACCCATGGAGAAAAGGGGCGCCCCCCTGCAGAGCTGCGGTGGATGGAATGGAAGGCGTGGCAGGCCTGACTGAACACTTCGTTCAGATGCTCCGCCCTGGTCGCCTGTGTCAGGGAATTTGGAAGCAGGGGCTGTCAGCGGCAATCAAGCATCACTGTCCTTATAAAAGAGACCGCCGGGATTTCCCTCATCCCTTCTGCCTTCTGGAGACAGTGAAGAAGAGATGACAATGAAGCGGGCCCTCTCGCCGGCCCTTCATCTGCCCATGCTTTGCCTGTGCACGTCCTGACTTCCAGAAGTAAGCGAGAAGGAACTTTCTTTTGCTTCTGAGTCACCCATGGTCGTGATAAGCTTGTAAGCAAAGACAACACAGCTGTCTTTTAAAAAATACTGAAAAATATTTCGGGTTGGGGCTGGGGAGGTGGTTCCAAGGGCTGGCGCACAGGCTTCATGTGGGGGAGGAGCAGGGTCAGCACCACGGACTCCCTCGGGACTGCTGGGAACAGCCCTCAAACAGAAGACCAAGACAGCAAGCAGAGGGAAAAGAAGAGGGACCATAAAATAGATCAGAGAAGAGGAAAAGGGGAAAAACAAAAGGAACGCAAGCCAAGGCAAAAAATTAACCACAACTTTCTGTAGGCCGAAGTCCTGGATGTCCCTTCCCTGAGGGAAAGCCGGGCTGACGGGCCTTGTCCAGGGCTGCTGGCCGTGCATGGTGGCCGTGTGGGCCAGTCCCACTCCACAGCACCAAGAGGTCAGGTTGGCCTTTCACTGGACCTTCTGAGCCTGCAAGCAAGCTCACTCTCCACCAGTGGCTGGGACTCTCACCCCCAAGGGGCAAACAGCGGAGAGTCTCATATCTCCATCTTTCACGGGCGCCTCTTCCATCAGACTGTGGGTGCCTCTCCAGTCAGATTGTGTTCTGCTGTGATGGCGGCTGCTCTCGGGAAGAAAGCATCGGTGGCCTCAATCCATGAGATGCCCACAGCTCTGCCCCTCTAGACTGGGACACTGAAACAGTCTCCAGCTTATCTCCTGAGATGTCTCTGCCAGGCAGATGGTGACCCGCCAAAGGGAGCCCCTTCGGAGCCGGCACTGCCCACTGGGACAGGCTGAGGGGCTGGGCAGAGATTCCAGACTATCTCCCACACCCACGAGGGGAGGACTGGACTCAGAAACTGCCTCTTGAGGGGGGCCCAATGGTGTGAGAAGAGCAGGTGAGGGGAGAGTAACTGAGTTTGAGGCAAGGAAAGAAGGGGTGCATAGGGCAGAGTCACAGAGACAGAGATTCTGGGGAAGCTGGAGGAGGAAAAAGAAAGCCAGTGGGGCTGGATGCCCGCCCACAGGGGCCAGGCAAGTGAGTGTCCAGTGGGACAGGGAGATGCCTCGGGACCCAGATTTAAAAAAAAAAAAGTCTGTTCTGGGGGCTGGAGCGATAGCACAGCAGGTAGGGCATTTGCCTTGCACACGGCTGACCTGGGTTCAATTCCCAGCATCCCATATGGTCCCCTGAGAACCACTAGGAGTAATTCCTGAGTGCATGAGCCAGGATTAGTAACCCTTGAGCATTGCCGGGTGTGATCCAAATAAAAAAGTCTGGTCTGAAGCGCCATAGATGCTCAGAAGCCCAGGGAAAACCTGAGCTGGGGAGTGCCAAGTGCAGACCTGCCCTTCCCACAATCCTCGAGTGGGGAGAAGCACCAGGATGAGCAGGTGTGTGTGTGTGTGGGGGGGGGGTTG